TAACTCAGCCTCAAAAAAGAAGGAAATTATGACACACGCTACAACATGGATGAATGTTGAGGACGTTTTGCTAAGTGAAATAAGTCAGTTACAAAAGGACAAATATTGTACGACTCCACTTGTATAAGGTCCCTAGAGTAGTCAAATTCATAGAGACAGAAAGCAGAATGGTGGTTGCTGGGGCTGGGGGAGGGAGGAATAGGGAGTTATTGTTTACTAGGTACAGAGTTTCAGTTTTACAAGATGAAATGAGTTCTGGAGATGGATGCTGGCGATGGTTTCACAATAGTGTGAATGTACTCAATGCCACTGAACGGTACACTTAAAAATAGTTAAATTGTAAATTTTCTGTTACGTGTATTTTTTAAAAAATGGAAAGGCTAAAAAAGAAGGAAGAGAGTCTCAGGAAACTATGGCACAATAACGAGTGACCTATACTCTTGACATTGGAGTCCCAGAAGAAGAGAGAAGGAAAAATAAAAAGACTTTTCAGACATAAAAAAGCTGAAGGAATTCATCACTAGCAGACCCACACTAAACAAAATGTTAAAAGAAGTCCTCTAGGCAAAGGAAAATAAGACCTGATGAAGATATGAGACCAGAAATGATAAATATACAATAGTTTTCTTACTATTTAAATGTCTTTAAAAGATAAGTGACTGCTTAGACAAAAGTAATGACAATGTATTGTGGGGTTTATGACATGTATAAGTGAAATAAATGACAACAATAACATAAAAGCTGAAGGGGGAGAAATGGAAGTAAACTATCATAAGGTTTTTATATTATACGTGAAGTGGTATGTTATCAATTGAAGGTAGACTATTATGAGTTAAAGATGTATACAATAAACCGTAAAGTCAAAAGACAAAGAAATATAGCTAATGAGCCAACAAAGAAAATAAAATGAAACCATAAAAAAAAAACTCAATCCAAAAAACAAAAAAGACAGGGAAAGAGGAAAAAGGGAGCAAAGGACAGATGGGACAAATAGGAAGCAATTATCAAGACGACAAATTTAAACCTGACCATGTCAATAATCACTTTGAATGTAAGTGAACTAAACACCCCAATTAAAGGGCAGAAATTGTCAAATTGAACAACAAAGCAAGACCCACCTATCTGGAGCCTATAAGAAACACACTTGAAATATGAAAACACAAATGGGTTAAAAGTACAAGGGTGTACAAAGATTTGCCACGCTAACACTAGTCAAAAGAAAGCTGGCGCTGCTATAATAATATCAGGCAAAGTGCAATCCAGCACAGGAAACACTCGTAAAGTGGACCTCACCAAAGCTGAAAAATCTGCTGTTCAAAAAACACTGTTAAATGGATGGACATTGAGGGTATAATGCAAAGTGAAATAAGTCAGAGGGAGAAGGTCAAATACCGTATGATTTCCTTCATTAAGTAGTAGATAATAAC